CAACCAGAAGTTGCTTAGCCACGGCCACGACTCGGCCACAATTTTTTGATAGTCAATAAAGATGAATTTTACGGCCTTGGTATACAAATAACTATTTAAGCAAATTTTGCTTTAAGTAGGTGAAAAAACTGTAAAAAAGTCGGTACCAACTTAAATAAATCCAAATAGCTCCTTAACGAAAAACGTACTTTTTGATAGCTATATACCTAATTCGTTTAAAAGATAATTATCAGATAGACCGTTAGCACCTTAGATGATTAATTGTTTTTCAATCAACGTTCTGGTCAGAAAAACTATATCGTTCTTCTATTAATGTGCCGTTAAAAGTATATAAATCATGTTCTCTCTTTGATTTTCGCAAATTCCAAGTGTTAATAACGACCAAATTAAGTAAAACTGTTAAAAACTGAAATACTAATATCTCATATAAATACTATAGTGTCAATTTATCATTTTTTAATGTAATTTTCTTGTTCCTATAAAGTTAGGTATACCTATACCTACAAGAAAAATACTAGAACATTAATCAAACATTAATAATTCATATTTTTTCATTATATGTATAAGATAGCTGTCCAATTAGAACATCTTGTAAAGTATCTTATTAAACTCTAGGTATTTGACGATTTAAGCTGGAAGCAAGGCAACTGCACTGGAGCTCTCGCATAGTAGAACTTTTTAATAAGTAAACTTTTTAATAAGCAAAATATTTTTTCTACTGCTAAAGTGTTATTTGGCCTATTGTTAATTAAGAAATAAGATAGTTACATTTACTTATTTAATAATTCTAATATTACAAATTAATTATTTCCATATTAGATCCTTATCTGATGGAAATGAATGAATAAATATTAATTTCATAATTATGTTAATAAAAGTATGTGTGCCATGAAATGTCAAAAATAAAGTAATTATATCTAGAAGAGAGCTGACATTTTCATCTTAAATTATAAATGTTCCCAGGCAGCACACATAGGTATAATTAACGTATTTTATTCGAAATTATAGTTTAAATTAGGTATTGGTTGATTCCGTATACGTTTACAGTTTACGATTATTATACATACCGTTTTTTTAAAGATATAGTATACGTATTTTTATACGTTCTATGGTATATAATTGTAAATTATTTTACGTTTAAATAAAGTTAACAATATATGACTATTTTTAGTGTGCGATGAACGATTTGTAGACAGTGTCCTTAAATATACATTTAGGTTTATTTAAATTAAATTCGTATAAATTTATGTAATATTATAATATGTATTTTTCGTTAATAACTCCTGTTTAAATTTTTTCTTGGTTGATTTCTTAAACGTTTAACATCTGCTATTTTTATACTTGGCATTTTTTAACGGATGAATTATTTTTTTGTAGATACTAGTTATTGTATATTATACGTTTAAATTTAATTTACTTTACACGCATATTTCCAGTTGGCGATAAACTAGTAGACAGAAGTAAGTAGGTATACATTTAGGTTTATTTATATTAAAAGCGCACTGATACGTTTATTTATATTAAATACATATTTTTTATTATTTTACCTATAAAATATATATCAGGTTATATAGAAAGCTTGACATTGTTTTTCGTGTAAAAAATATTATATGAAACTTTATCTACCATTTTTCAGTTTTTATTTTCATAGATGTTAAATAAAAAATATATTTTTTAAATACCTTTTATTGGCAAATAAAATAAAAACTAAAATGTTTTAAATATTTTTTTTTATAAGATCAGTCCCATCAGAATACACAATATTACACAAATACAAACTAGAATAAAGATAAATAATACTCTTCGCAGTTTAACAGACCCCCTTAACCCCCATTTTCAACCAGATTGTTTCACAATCAATAGGCCTCATCTAAAAATTTTATGTTAATATTCCTTTTTATTTTTTATTTTTTTTTTAATTTTAACCCCCCTTAAATCACCCATATTTAATTAGATCTTTTTTTTTATAATTAAAGGGCTTCTTCTCCTTTTAGAGCTTGATGTTTGCTAAAAATTTCAAGTTGATATCATTTTTCGTTCTTCAGTTTTTTTTAAATATTTTCATATTTTTTTTCAGTATCAATAGGCTTTATCTTCTTATAGAGCTTCATTTTTACAAAAAATTTCATGTTGATATCGCTTTTTGTTTTTAATTTAAGATTTTTTTTTTAATTTCAACTCATCTTAACCCCCCTATTTTTAATCAGAATTGTTAAAAATCAATAGGCTTTGTCCCCTTATAGAGCTTGATTTTTGCTTAAAATTTTCAAGTTGATATCATTTTTCGTTTTTGACTTATCGTGCAGACAAAAAACGTGACATCAGACAGACGGAAAAAGTAACACTATAATACTCTTCACACAATGCTGTATGAAGAGTAGAAAAAAAATGTATAAAATAAACAGTTTAAAGAGGCCAACAATAATATTCGACTTCTTTTATCAAAGGATACTTAAAAGTTTGAAATAGCAGAAATCTGTGAACTAAAATAGTGAAATACATATCGTAAAAAGTTATCACACTTAATTCTACATATGACCCTTTCTAAGTGTATTTCACAGTACATTCCAAAGTATTCTTGCTCCCGCTACTGTCCTACCTTCATTGCTGACTTTTGCATGTCTATGTTTACTAAAAAAATGTGTTTTAATAAATAACAGAATAATAGTAATTTTGTCTAAATATGTAAATCGGCTTCATCTGTATTTTTAAATTATGGTTTAATTGTAGATAGTATATTAATGTTTTGATATATACTTATAGGATTGATTACCCAGAGCATGTAGATATGTGGGATGTGACTTGTTAGGTGCCAAATCAAAATCAAAATTTATGTTTGATACTTATTGCTCTTTTCGAGACATACTTTATTACCAACTGTAAACTAATTTACCAACAGCCTTATTTTTATTTAATACCTGCAGTGATCCAAATTACCAATAAATCTAATATTTTTGAAAATACTAAATTATACAAACAAGGCAATAAAAAAATGTCATTAAAATAAAATATTTCGGCTAAACAATATTAATAAAAATGAATGTATAAAGAAATTTAAATTTGAAAATATTACTAATAGTAATAATTATGATTTAGCCAGTTGTGAATATCCTAAAATATCTAATTTTGGGAGCGATGATGACTAAGAACTTGTTGGATATGCTTGTGGACAATAAGCATAAGTCTTTCCTTTTGAATCTAAACTACGTGCACACAGCTGTCAACCTTTTTTGGTTATTTTAAATATTTCAGGTTTGTATGCAGCACACATCTAGGCTAGAGGGCAACACGATTGATATTTACAGGCAAACATAACTTTATATAATCTATTTAAATGAACATTTCTTAGGTAAAGTTTCTCATTATGAGTATATTAAATTAACTGGTTGATCCATTTTTCCGATTCAGACTTTTAAATTGAAAAACCATTTGTCTCTTTATCTTTATCAAACGTTTATTGTATATTTCCATTTCCATAGTGATGTCAAGTAGTTACCTTATCAGAATAATCAAATGTTTCCTTTTGGCGGGTTTTGTGGGAAACAAAAAATTTACAAATTGTTTGCTTACTTCTTATTTCATAGTATTTATGGTTGGGTACAAAATAGACCATTTTGAAGTAGTCTTAGAATGGTCTAAGACAGGGGTTCTCAATCTTTTTCAAAGACTGTACCCCTTAATGAAAAATTAAAATTTTGCCTACCCCCTTGTTATGGGGGATGGGGTTTATCGGGGTATGTGGGTGGGTGGAGGAGGGGTTAATTAAAAACACGATTGATTTAAAAATATATTTGAAATGCATTACAAAACATTAATGAGAAGGATGAGCTTGCTTATTTTTACAAAGTTGCTCAATGTTTGGCTCAAGCTTTGTTAAATACCACCTTAAATCGTTCTCAACATTCAGCTTGTTTCTGTACTTATTTTTAGATAATTTAAGCTCTAAAACCCTCTTTCACATAGGTATGTAGTCGAAAATCCAATAAGAATTTTTACAGCATTATTTGAAAGTTCTTGGTACTCCTTTCCAACACCGATCCAAAAATCTAATAAGGTAGCACTCAAATATTTTTTATCTGATCACATGATAGTTCAATTAGTTGATCCTTCTGGAATATTGTTAGGTTGCTCAAAGTTTCAATGGCATCAAACGAAAAGGGGTCACGAATCCAGTCCAACTTTTTATCCGTGGATGGGAAGTATTCTCTTATACTGGCCTTCAATGAGCTGGGGTGACGCTCAATTTGAGTTTTATGGCCATCAAAAGCAGATATGTTTTTTCTGTTTTCATCCAAAAATGAGTTTAATTTTTCAAAAGCATTACAGTTGTTGTTTTCTATTTCATTTTTCCAGAGTGTTATTTTTTTTAACATTGTATTTGTTTTGTTTTCAATATAGAAAATATCAGAAACACTCCCTTGCATAGACTTATACCATATGTTGAGTTTTTCAAAAATATCACTCAGGTAAACCAATTTTATAAGCTCATCAAAGTCATTAAGTACTGATGATAAATTAGACTTGTGCTCTGTGAAGAAAAGATCCAATTCTTTGTGGAGCTCAAACACACGGGCCAGGACGTTTCCACGTGAAAGCCAGCGAACTTTAGTGTGTAATAGCAAGTTCTCATGAAGACTACCCATATCTTGACAAAGGATCCTAAACTCACGAGATTTTTGAGGCCTGGTTTTGATAAAATTCACAATTTTTCACTCTCGTCGAGGACTTTTTTTAACTCATCAGGAATGTGCTTGGCAGCCAAAGCCTCACGGTGAAGGACACAATGAGTGAAGTTACACTCAGGCGACACATTTTTTATAAAGCCTGCCAGTCCAGTTATATGACCACTCATGGCCTTGGCACCGTCCATACACACTGACACACAGTTTTTACACTCAAGTCGGTTCTCGAAAAAAAAAAAAAGAATCCAAAAGTGTGAAAATGTCTCGCCCTTTTGTAGAAATATTTAGTGGCTTGCAAAATAAAAGATCCTCAAATACTTTATCCTCACGGATTCCATGCACAAAAACTATCAATTGGGCTAAGCCAGCAACATCTGTCGTTTCGTCAATTTGTATTCCAAACCACGGACATTCTCGTATTACTAGCACGAGTTGCTCTTTTGTGTTGCTTGCCATGTCATTGATTCTTCGTGAAACTGTGTCATTTGACAATGGTATATTTTTAATACTTTTTGCCTCTTTTTCTCCAAACATGCAAGAAACTATTTCTAATGCAGCAGGGAGAATGAGGTTTTCACCAATGGTGTGGATTTTCCCAGATTTAGCAATTAGATGGCTAACTTTATACGAAGCTTTCAGAGCTTTTTCATTTTTGTCTGCTCCAGAAAAATGTTTTATAGTACTTTTCCTACTATGAAGATCTTCCAAAAGACGTTTAAAATACTCTAAATCTTTATTTACTAAATTTCCATGTTTACTTTCAAAATGGCGTTTCAAAAGAGAAGATTTCATAGAGTTTTTTGATAATACTTCTGAACAAACCACGCATTGTGGAGAAGGCTCGTCTGAACTTCCCGTCCAAGTAAATCCAAATTTTAAGTAAGATTCATCATATTTCCTTTTTTTATTTACACCCTGTGTCACTTTTTCAGGGTTTTTATTTACATTCGGATGGACAGTTATTAGAATCAGGCCTACTTATATTTTGAGACGTTGATGGCCCAGGATTTTGGTCAAGATCTTCATGAGATATTTTTCGTTTGAGCCAATTATCCATTCTTAATGTTCACACTAACATTCCCACATCAATCCTAACAGTATTCACAAACTGATAATCCGATAACAACAGTCTTAAATTGTTGAGCAGATTTGAAGTTATAATAACAACGAGAACGAAACTGATAAACAAAACAACAACAGGACAATAGGAAATGCTGCACTGACACTGATCTGAGTCAAGGACCCGCTGCCCACACCCCACTCCACTCCACCCGCCGCACTTCTAGTCTGCGTAACTCGAGCACACGGGCGTAGCGAGGATTTAGTATCGGGGAGGGTTCAAGAAAATAAAAGTTCTAAAAGTGCATGAAATAACCGTATTATTCATATGAAAAAATTAAAGAGTAAAAAAAACAAAAGGTTCATTTGATTACATATGCATAATTAGTAATAAGTTATGCCTCTCGCCTCTCCTTATTTTAATAATTTTAATGTTCATATCTTAACATTTCGGGCAGGGTTTGATCCCCCAAAACCCTCCCCCTGGCTACGCCCGTGCTCGAGCACACAAGTATTCAATTAGATTCCATTATAAATTATAATTTTTTGTGATTACAAAAGAGAAATAAAAATGGTTTAATTTTTCATTAACCTTCCCGGGTATCCCCTGAAAATTTTCGCGTACCTTCAAGGGGTACGCGTACCACAGTTTGAGAACCCCTGGTCTAAGATACTGAAACAAAATATAAAACAAATTAAATTCGTAAAACTTTATTATAGTTAAATAAAACAACTTTAAAAATACTTTTATTTACCTTACCTTTCAATTTATTAATGTCACAATTCTTAATTAAACACATCATTTTTTTAAGTACAAATAAAATAATCTTAAATTTATTTAAAGCGTTTCATAGTAGCAGAATGACGGAAGACGCAATGACAGTTTGTTTGATTTGGTACAGTGTTACCAGAATATGTTTTTGTTATGTACCAGATTTGTCAAAAAAATGTACCAGATTCCTTAAATGTACCAGATTTTTCGAATTCTGTTTGCAGTGACATCTAATTCATTAAAGAGGAAAAAGAGACCCCATTTTTTCCTATTCAATGAATTAGATGTCACTGCAAATAGAATGTTCTAATATCATTTAAACTACCCTATTTTATTTTTATAAAATCTAACTTGATCCACTAGCTCAAGTTTGACATATGACGTAAAAGTGTAATGCTAAAGTGCGTACATTTTTAGTAATTCCTCTTTATTCTATTTCAATAATTGGAAAGATTCGTTTGCCCCGCCCTACTTGGTGACGTCTTGCCTTGTTTATGTGTTATGCACAAAATACCGTGGTTTGTTTTACAGATCTCTTGACCTCTCTTTTTAATTACATGCATTTGTGAAAACTTCTGGTGCTCATTCGGCATAGTGTATCAAGAGAGATGCGATGAGCCAGAGCACAGTGGCGTACCAAAAAATAGAGATTAACATGTATAAAAATAATAAAAAATATTAAATTTGAATTTATATTTTTATGTTATTTTTATGATTTTACCATAATTTATTTTTATGAAACTTAACTAAGTGTTCACTGCACAAATGTAGAAATTGCCCCTGATTATATAATTAGAAAATTCCACCTTGCTAGAGATGCATCAAATCAAACTAGTTTGATTTGACAAGTCAAGTTTGATTTGACTTGCAAAATCATTTTTTTTTTAATAAAAGAGTTTGATTTGATTTGAAAATCAATTCGGAAGCTTGATTTGAAATCAAACTGTTTCAAATAGTTTGAAATACGAAAAGTGTTACGTACCGCCACCGGCCGTACCGCATTTTTAATTTCTCATGGTTACGCAATGAGACATAGCAGGGATACAGTATCCCGGCCAGTTATCTCTGATCCCGGCTGACGGGACGTCGTCGTAAGATTATTTGTTTCAGTTTTATATTTTGCCAAGCGCCGGAGGCACAAAACACAGCCAAAGGCTTACGCTGACCACCTATCTCTTTGGAAACAAATACTAATGAGTGATTTGGAAATGTCTGAGCCTGAACCATTTCAATCCAGCGATTCACAGCTTGCTAAATCATAATTATTTTCAAATTTAAATTTCAAATTTATACATTCATTTTAATATTGTTTAACCGACTGTTTCAATGTAACAGTGGTGACAAGCGACACTTAAAGACGTTGAAATGTCGCTTGTGTATAGACAACATGTCCGTTCGCACGACTCAGTCATCAAAACTAAATGGAACCGCCTGAACGCCCTGGCTCCAACCCAACTTACACAAACAGCAACTATGGATCAATACCACTTCTAATTTGGATCATAGAGACGATTCCAAGTTTTAGGATAAATTCCGACTCATAACGGGTCAAAAATCCAAAACATACTCCCACCTCCAAATCGATGGACAAATCCACTCAACCCCCGACGAAAAAGCCCTAGGCTACAAAACCCACCTTGAAGCCACCTTCAGAACCCCCAATAACCACCACTTTGACGAACAATTCAAACACGAGACCGAACAATACGTTCTTCAGACACTCGCCGCCCCAGCCCCACCTTTGAATATCGAAAACCCCCTCACTTCCCCATTCACCCTCCAAGGCATCCAATATGCCTGCCAAGCAAGCAAAAATACGGCCCCCGGGCCTGATTTCATTCACAGAAGAACGCTGAAGCATCTTCCTGAAACCATCTCTCTCTTTCCTATTTTCTACTTGCCTGGAAATCCGCCAACATCATTTCGATCCCCAAACCAGACAAAGACCCCAAATCCCTAAATTCATACAGACTCATCTCTCTCATATCAGTCCTAGGGAAACTCCTTGAGCTTCTGCTCAAGGAAAGAATCTGGGAATTTTGTGAAGAAAGAAATATCATCCCTCAATCCCAACATAGGGCAAACCACTTCACACAGGACGCAATCTCCTCCCTTCACACTACTGCGGTCACAGTAGTTAATTCCCAACAAATTTCTTTAGCAGTTCTCTAAGATGTTCAAAAAGCCTTTGACCAAGTCTGGCATGGCGGACTAGTCAAAAAGCTTACGAACATAGGTCTCCCCACCCAAATCTCCAAACTCATAGGTACACTCCTACTTTAAAGACAGAAAAATCACCGTCAAAGTGGGCAACTCCCTGTCACCACTCGCGGGTGTCTCACGAGGCTCCGTCCTGGCCCCTTTCCTCTACCTCATCTACACACACCACATTCCCCCCTCAAAACCACCCTACGTCCAAATGCCTCCTATACGCCGACGATACAGCTCTAATCTCGGTAGCCAAAAATTCGAACCAATTAAATAACCGAACCCAAAATCTGTTAAACCAGTACTCTCACTGGTGTAGCGAATGGAGGGTCTCATTTAATCCACAGAAGACACAAGTTATCGTCTTTAAACACCCAAATTCTCAAAGAACCTCCTAGAACACGCAACTCGTAAATGTAACTCTCCTGGAAGTCAAGCTCGCTCAACAGACTGAAATTGACTATTTGGGGGTACGATTTTCTCGTACACTCGACGCTCTCTTGATAAGATGCGAAAACGAGGCAGTCTCCTTGGGGCTTTACACGGACGAATGAGGTGGTGCAACACAAATACCCTTATTTATAATTACAATTCCTTTATCCGCCCCGTTGCCGAATACAGAGCTGTACCCTACGGCGTACTTCCCACAAATTTACCGCACTCGAGAGACGTATACTCAGACGTTGCCAATATCTACCCTTTCGCTCCCCCAGTGGAGAAGTTTTTGAAAACATCTCCAACACCCCCCATCCTCACACGTTTCCAAACCCTCAGGAAACAATATGTCTCTCGCACGCTGAAAGGCACCAACACACACTCACAAGACACACTACGAACCGCATGGCGTGCAAACCGACTCCCATTTTTTCAAAAACCCAAAAGAAAAATGCCGCAACCAAATCTAAGACTTTTCTCAGACTCCCAAGACCTCCTCCTCACCGCTGAACTCCAGTATTTGCTGGAATCAGCCCCTCTAAACATTAGATACACGCTTCCCAACCATATAAGTAGAATTTCATACTATTTATACAATATCGTGATTTAGGTATTTGTGGTTTCCCTAAATCATATTCCCCACCTTATATTTGGACTTGTCCATTTACGAGGTTGGAAGTAGCAAAATTGGCGATATTTTTGTATTTTTGGGGAACACAACCTGCTACACAGGTCCCACACGCGCACACGACAACTTAGGGCAAACTACCCTAAAAAGGAGGATAACTCCTATAGCAGGGGTATAAGGAAAATAAAACGTTTCAGAAAATGTAAAACTTATGATAAAAAAAAAATAGTAACGTTTCAATGTTCAATGGCGGCTGTGTGCATTTTATGGAGGTACCTGTAGCATTTTGGATTTTTTTTGTGGAAAATAGCAGGTATATTGTGTTTTTTATAATGAAATTGAGTTATTATTTGTATGTGCGGTATTTCGATGATACATTTGAGGTGTAAATATTAATTTTTGTTTTCTTTTCAGGTCATGCTTTATGGGGCCCTGAATTTTGAAGCCGTGGTGATTTTTATGATGAATTTTGGTATATTATATTTGTGTGCAATATTTCTACATTTTTGGTTTCGGTTATGAATTTGTACAATAAAATTATTGATATATCTAACAAATATGTTTAAATTATTTTTCTTTATTCCCCCAAATATTTTTGACGTATTTGTGTGTATCTACTTAAGTTGTAAACCATATGAAAAACTTTTTTATTACTGGTTTTGAGAAAAGATTTATTCTTCAGAAAAAGTTCGGCATGTTCCAAAACTTAAAATGCAACCATCAGATATTAATTTTCTTAAGCCGTATACGAGATTTGTCAAAAAATATGAATTTTACTCAAGAGTAAAGTACCTTTATTTTTTACAATACAAAATAATATTATAAAGTAAAGATATTTTGAATTAAAACTTGTAATTAAATATGTAATTACAGCTACTTAGCATCAAAATTCAGATTTGGTGTTTATTAAATTAATAGCTACAAATTATTTATAATGTATAACGTAAATAATCACCTATCCAGAATTTTAATGCAATGTAAGTGCATATTTGAATATAACTTTTAATTAAAAATAACTTTATAACGTTCTTCTGTAATTTACAAAATAAAGGTACTTTACTCTTGAGTAAAATTCATATTTTTAGACAAACTTCGTATTCGGCTTAAAAAAAAATAATCTGATGGTTGCATTTTAAGTTTTGGACCATGTAGAACTTTTTATCAAAAATACATTTTTCACAAAACCAATAATTGAAAAATTTTTCAAATGGTTCCAAATTAAGTAGACTGTACAACTAATACCCTACATGTTGAGAAGACACCTTTACATACCTTTATTTACATAATATTTATAAGACTAATGTTATATGAAAAAAGTAATGTATATGTGCTGTAATAATGAAGCATATTAATGGTATTATAAATGTTAACATGTCTTCCGATATACGAGTATGAGTATAACATTATTTTTTACATCTAACGTTTTTTTTTTTAAATTGTGATATTATAGGGCTTAATTTTTTAATAAAATTGTCGCGGGGCCCCACCACCTGGAAAATTGTCCCAGGGCCCCACCTGGATCTCAGTTGCCCTGCTCATTACATCACCTATGAGGAACCTGTTATAAAACATAATTAGGTCCTTTTTCACAGTAATCATGTGAGATGTTATGTAACATGTAAGTTATGTAACACGAAACTAGTATATGTAAATTATACATGCATGTTACATGTTTGTATTTGCTGAACAGCTATTGATGGCTTACACAGAAAAAAAGGTGTACTATATTCAAGATGAATGGTCTTATTTCAATGCTTTGTTGTGTTTATATATCCGCAAGTAAAACTCGTCTAGATTTGAAATTCTAGTAATACTTGATCAACAATAGCTACTAAGCCTTGCTTCAATATTAGAATCAACTTGCGCCTTCCAAAATACCTCTAATTAAATGAAGAGTATCTATTGCACAATTGCAGTATTATGTGCATCTTAAATGAAAAAGTCTTACACTTGTTTTAAATATACTTTATTTATATTCAATAATACCTTGTTCTTAAATCCAATACAACTAAATTTGTTACAATAATAATATGATCTTTGATATAAATATATTGATTGATATATGGTTGAATTATAGGATAGTTTCATTGAAGAAATTAATAATCTTGAAATAAGATTAGGCTGTTCTTGCTTTTTAATAGGATTCTCACTGGTACCTGTCCACCGAAAAACATTTTTCAAAATTGTTTTTAGTTAATATACCAAATGCCTCTGTCCTCTGAGGGGTTCCACCTAAAATTAAAAAAAAAAATTAACTTCAAAACCTAAATGGAACATAAAAGTTTGTCCTACTAAGATAAGAGGTTGCATCTACAAAATGAATATTTTTAGTAAATGTAGGTAGGTAGATAAGTACGCCCTTTTAGACTTCGCAAATAAGTTTTGCATATCTTACTAACCTTTTCTTATAATTATGGTAAATATTTTCTAATGCAAAATGGTCCTTAATTATTTTCTGTTATAATAAAATGAAATGTAAGCTTATTAAATTTGTAAGAATCTTGAAATCAGAATTTTCGTAGATTCGACCTATTGTCTTAGCAAGGCAGAAGATGTCTTTCCAAAAAGTCGTCATCCAGCATCATACATTTTTTCTTACTTCTATTCCAGTTTGTTTCATGTTCTTATGATTATAAATTTACTTAGGTATATATAATAATACCTAACAAGAAGTGAACTAAATATACTTAAATTTAAATATTGGTATCAGGTCGCTGAGGCCCCATTCATTTAACAAATGTTCCATTTCAATTTATTCATTCATTCATACACTTATTATTTAATTCACAAAGAATTTCTAACAAAAAGTAAAATGCAATCCTAACGATACGATGCATGTTAAGAAAATGGACAATAGGATGAACACGTGCTAATGCCAATTTGCCAGATTCTCTATAAATGCGTTGTGTCTCTGACTTCCGAATAATAACTATCACATCTCAACATGTGCCAGTCATATATCTACCGTATCAGTGCAGGGGTTGCATTTTAAAATAAGTTTCAGCTGGTAACACCGTGCAGTGACGTTGTAGTCGCTAATCTTTTGTGAAGCACATAGGTTTTTGATTCGAATTGTTTCTAAAATTTAAATGCTTTGAATCGAATCCTTTTATAACATTGAATCAAGTTATGCAATAGTCGGTTTTCAGAGCATATCATGCCGATATAAGAGAAGCACCTCTTGGCGACGTTGTCAACTACATTAAATCTGTAGGCTGGCTGACGAGCTAGGAGGTGCCTATCATCTTAGGAGGATGCACAATGGGCCTAATGAGGCCTAAGTGCCGTGGGGGTAACCCACCCTCCACACGTTACAGATACAGAGAAGAGCATATCATACTTATAATAAACGTAAGAGCTTTCTTGGATTAATTCACAATTCTATACTCATTTATTCTCAGATTAATTATTATAACTCTTAAAATACAAGATTATGCCTATACTTCACTTCATTTATTTTCTTATTGTATCGAGAAATATTATTTGAAGCAAACTCTGCTTTATTTTAAACAAATGTAATCTTCCACGTGTAAAGCTTTTCTTGAATGTAGATGATAATTTTTTTCTGTGTTCTGTGTTCATTAATGTGTATATTTGTTTTGTACATGCTCCTTTGCTACTTTGAAAACCGAACTGCTGTTTTGTTCAAAAATTCTAATCTTTTCTTTATAATGGTTTTCGATAATTTAAAGTACTTTATTGTTAAAGTTGAACGAATTTCACATTTTCTGAAAAACCTGGTATATTAGTAGTAAAAATTGATAATTGATTATTGTATTTAAGGTTTCAGACGATGCAAGGGATAACTACTTTTTCGTAAAACTGATTAATTACGTAGGCACACAAATCAAGTGCAGTTTTTTTATTCCCTCGAAGTTTTCTTATTGCCAATTCCAGAGCTCTTATATGCGCCAAGCTAAGCAACCTCCGTCTTACCTCCGGCATGTCTATATGTGACACAGACAGGTATGAAACCTCAAAATGAGGTAAAAAGAGAAAGAAGACCGTCCACGAACAGAGAGGGAAAACCGCATCTCGCCTATGCAATCATTGAAGTCTCTCAGTCGGTCTCGCGGTACTAAGAGTGTTCGACATCGACATGGCTATAGGATATGACAATTAGAGTTGTGCCTTAGTTTTAAATCATTTCACTTTCTATAACAAGGTGGTTTTAGTGGTTTTGTTTTGTTAAAATGATGTTTAAGAGTGTTGTATTTCTACTTGCTACCATCATTGTTGCGTCTGCTAAAGGTAACAGCATTTTTGAGGTTATTAATTACCTATTTTATAGCTTGTTTTATTTACTGAAACTGTAGTTTTTTATGACACCTTAAATAGTTGAACTGAATAATAAAAGTGTTTGTTGGTAAAAAAATAACCATTTTTTTAATTAGTGATATTTCTTTACTATTTAATGGAAATAGTTTATAAAAAAAACTAATTGGAAGCAACATAAATTTAAAAAAATGTGTAATAAAGAGAATACATACAAAGAAACAAATATTATTTCCAATTCACAATATTCAACAGTATTTTTCCAATTTTAGACAATCGATCAGGGTATAAAATTAAATTTATTATTATGTCTTATCAATAAATATTTGTGATAATCGTAAAATTTATTTATTTGACAATTTCAAGACAGATCAGGTATAAAAATCGTCATTTTTTTAATTTAAGTTCTTAAAATATTCTATTTATGAGTCTATGGGTGCTGCCAGGAGGAACAGAGGGTGATTTTGCCCTGCTAAGAAAAGAGGTCGTATCTACAAAAACTCCGATTTCGAGATTCCTACATATTAAATATGTTAACATTTTATTTTATCACGATACAAAGTTAGAAAGACCTATCTGTATTAGAAAACATTTTAAATTATATAAAAAGGTTAATCAAAACTGCAAAACTTACTTTAGGAAGTCTAAAAAGACGTAATTATGTACTCTTGCTAAAAATATTTATTTTGTAGATACGACCTCTTGTCTTAGCAGGGCAGCATTTGCCCTTCCTCCCTGAAAACGACCCGTAATTTGCGTTAAAATTTCTAAATTTCTAAACAAATGCTTTCACAGATCTAACTGCAACCTATGAATAGTTTTTGATAGAAAAGAACATGTTGTATGATTGATAATACTTTTTCTGATCATAAAACGGTAATAAAATAAAATAACCTGTCCTATCGACCACTTTGAGAAAAAAAAATTAGTTTAATCAATATACATTAATTTATTCAAACTTTGATATCGGGAGACTGGTTCGAATTTAGCGTTTATTTTTGTTCAAAATATAGATATCTTTGTAATATTCCCTTTACAAATAAAAGTCAGGACTTAACAAGTTAAATTCTTTAGTGAAAGGTTGAAAATGTTTTAAAACAATAATTTCCTGAATTAATACTTTTGTAGGTACTTAGATTATATTAAATTAAAAAATTGGTTTAAAAAAAATATAAAAACAATTCTGATAATAATGGACGAGCTGACTGCAGTATCATCAAAGAGTTAACGAAAATAATAATTTTGAAAACAATATCAGTACATTAAATATAAATAATATCATGATCCATAAGCCCTATAAAGTTTCAAATATTTTCAAGCAATACTTTATAAATGAGCCTATACTTTCATTCCAATACAACAAGTATTAAAAGTAAATTTAAAAAATCTTCAAAATCGTGCAGGTGCAATCATTACATCTTGACCAAATTTATATGGGATCACCCCTGAGGTACCCCCTTACTAACAAAAAAAGACTCCTAAACATCGGATCAGGAGGTAAAGAATGATCGCTAAATATACATAAAAAATTAAGAATTTGAGGATTTTCTCATGGACCCAATAATTTAATTTTGACCAAATTAATATGGGACCATCCCTAAAGTATCTTCTTTCTAACAAAAAAAGATTCATTGAAATCGGATACCGTGTTAAATAATTAATGCTGAACATATATAAAAAAATATATACCGACGAATTGAGAACCTCCTCCTTTTTTGAAGGCTGTTAAAAATATCGATGGTAATAAATTAAAAAAAACCATAATCGCTCATCTCTATTTTTAAAAGCTTTTATACCTTCAGAATTAAAAACTGTTCCTTTATCTAAATTAAAAATAAATGATTCTCAGGTCCCAATGAATTACCGCTATTTTTTAATTAAATAAATAGTCGAAACCTTAACACGTTTTAGTAAATCTGTTTCAGCACACACTTTTTTTAAAATCCTTTAAACTGGGAAAATTCACTTTCTATATAACTACAAACTACAGACCAGTAACTATTTTCAATAGTTTGTAGAATATCTTTGAATACTCTTTTTTAGATCGTTTAATAATTTTTTTTAGAAAAATATCTATCCCATAACAGTCTTTCGTCTGACTGCATAAAGTGGTACGTCTATGGTGGTACGTCGTATTTTCAGCTGGCTATTTATAGTTGGAAGCGGTTATGTGACCTGTGAAATTCATAGTAAAGTTACTTATCGGTTTATTTTTCATTTTGTGCTGGCAATGAAATATATTTTTCTACACCCACATTGATATTAGCTTATCTACGCACAGACTACAAAACGAACAAGTATTAGAAATTAAAAATTAAAAAAAACCGACATCAAAAACGTGCAGATGGCGTCACCAAATCTTAACCAGATTTATGTGGGACCATCCCTGAGGCATCGTTCATACGATGCCTGAGGTATCCCCTTACTAACAGAAAAAGAATCACATAAATCGGACAAGGTGGTAAAGCATTATCGCTAAACATACATAAAAAATGAAGAGTTTGAGGATTTTCTCACGGACCCAATTATTATATTTTGACCAAATTTATATGGGACCATCCCTGAAGTACCCCCTTTTTAACAAAAAAAGAATGATTGAAATCATACACCGTGTTAAAGAATTATCGCTGAATATACATTAAAAAAAAATATCGCGACGAATTGAGACCCTCCTCCTTTTTTGAAGTCTGTTAAAAAGTATACTATTGCCATTAAATGAACGAATATAATTTTGTATCCATTCTATGTAGTGAGAACACTGCAAAAAATTGAAATCCGCCAACCACAGTCACCTAACGACTATTATTTTTAAAATTTGAAATAAGTGAAAATTCTGTCAAACTAATTGTCTGAACTTAAATATACATTAAAATGATTTATTTTTGTGTAGAATCAATAAATAATAGTATTTTTATTTATACTATAATTATAAATAATTTGTTAATATTAATAAAACTCTATGAAGTTAATTCAATAACGAGTATTAATAAAATTTCCCAAATCTGCCGGTGGATGGGTGGTGAGAGTATCTGCCTTCCACGTGAGAAACCCAAGTTCGAGCTTCGGCTGGGGACTTCTAAATTAATTTTTTTCGTGTATTTTATTTTTTAAATTATTAAAAGTCATAAATTATTTTTAAATTAGTTATTTTGTCTTAATAAGCTAAAATATTTTTTTTAATTGTAAATTTTCGTTAGTGGGTCGTAGAAAAAATATAGTGTACAACTCGAGTGGATTAACGTATTATTTCTGAATCTAAGATGACAAAATCGCAAAAAAAATTTAAAAATTTGAGCTAGAGATTTAAAAACGAAATTTGTAGATTATCTAGTTATATTAATTTGGAAAATATTCTCATGCTAAAGTAAACATTAAAATTCAATTTTCACTAATTTTTGATTGACCTTGTAACTAATAATAATAATAATACTTTACTACATAGATTATCCCATTGTATTCAGATAGCTATCTAAATACAATGGTTATATTGAAAATAATGTTTGATATCGATAAAACATTATTTTTGTAAAATATATGTAATCAAGTAACTTTGTGAAGAAATACAGCCTTTTTAATAAAATTAAAACTTAGCCAACTATGGTACAGTATTAATGATCATACACATGTACAGTGTGTCCTCGGATAGGTGAAAAGACTCTTGGAAAAGATACAAAATTTTCGATTTAAATTTTCATTTTTTGCGGTTCAGTCCTGCTTGGTTAAAAGATAATTTTCAACATAATTTCAGTTTAGTGAAATCAAGGATCAACATTTTCAAAAAACTTATTTTTCTTCGAAGTAAAGCGTCTTTGATGTTGCAGATATAATCAAAAGTTATTTAGAGTCACCATCTAGTACTACATACCAAATTTTAAAATCCTTAGCCAACTATGATTTTTGATTTACTTTGTCAAGAAGTAGCTTTTAGGTAACATATATGTCAAAAAGTTATTTATTTATCATTTGATTTAAATCCATGATAGTATTTGTACAGAAGGACTAATTTTTCCTGCTTTCTACAATCCTAATTTATTTCGTAAATTGGAGTGGACGATCCCAAATGTAGAAAATACTCGCTCTACCGAAGCTGATGAGAAGACGACACATAAATTGTTTCAAGATAATTTTGTAACTTCAGGAATATTCTGTTGTACAATCCATCACTGTAAGGCACTAATACCTTTTCTGAAAACATAACTGTTGAAAATCGTTCAATTTTGATAGGAATCCACTATTTTCATACATTTCTTGTTTAATATTTAATGCTGAATCTTTTTTTGCACTAGTCAATTCAAATTTGGTTTTGGTTGTATCCAAAATATAAGCCACAAAATGATAGGGCGATAGAGCCTGTTTATATCGGTTTTCAAAAATTTGTATTTAAGCCAAAGATAATTCTAATTCGTCATTGAATTGTATTTCTAACTCTTTCCATATTTCTACTGCGTCAGATAGAGAAGCATTTTTCTCACAGCTATTGGTTTTAATATATTTAGGTAATCTTCAGCTGATCTTTTAAGACCAATATTTGAAACTTTTTGGTATAATTGTTGAGTCTATTTTTTTTTATTTTCCTCTCATACTTTTAAAAATTTCTTCCATTAACTTGCATATATACCTCTGAACAATCTGAAATACTATTCCATCTTAAGTCGCTTGGAAGCACTAATGTTTTCCCACCTGCCTGTATGTATTTTGCCCTAGCTGATGATGTTTATTTCTGACGTACTTTAATAATTATTTAATGTTTGCATAAGTTTAAAAGGTTAGCTGAGCATCCATAAGTTATGATTTTGAAGTCTAAGTACCATGTTTGCTGCATTATCTATTACGAAAGATTTTACGTCACAGTTGTATTTAGATTTACAAGATAAAATTAATCCCAGTTAAATAATCGTCTGTGTCATTTCCAGATGTATCAATTGTTTCAAACAAAAATGATTGTCTATTTTTAGAGGTTATTGTGGCACAAAGTACGGACTCGTTGTGGACATTAGATCAATCATCCATAGACATAGATCAGAAAGTCTTCTAAAACATTTTGTTTTTCATCCTCGTGGATCTGTTGTAGTAGAGTCGTCGAAATCATTTTTCCTCACGAAGGCTTATAACCAGGGGCCTATTTCATAAAACTACTTTGCAACTTTTCACTTGCACTTTGCATATTTTACTAAATTGATGTTTTATAACAGAGAAATTTGATGAATTATAAGTAAAATTTGAAAAGCAATTTGAAAATTGAAAATGAAAAATTAATAATCTACAAAGTTACTGATGTTATTTTATCAAACACAAATATTTCGTACTCGTAAATTTGCAAAGTGCAAAGTAGTTTTATGAAATAGGCCCGTGGTCTTAACATATCAATCGCCTTTTTTACGTTCAAATTGTCCAAACACCTAAAGCAAATACAGCTTTTGCAATTTGTTTGTCTATTTCTTCTTTTTTATTAGCAGTAGTTTTATTGACAAAGTTAATTAAATTAGCGGAAGTGGAAATGTCTGTTTATTGTTTTTTTGAAACTGATGGCACTGACAAACCAAAAACAGACAAACTTAACGAAGCTGAGCTTGTTTGTTGTTTTTAAAACTGATGGTATACCTAATTGGAAGACATTGAAATCCTTCTGCTTGCAATAGTTGCATTATCTGAATCAGGATCTGTTCCTTCATAAAAAAATTATGTAAATTGATAAATGATGAGATATTGTTTAATTAATAATACTTTTTAAAATATTAATATTAATAAAATACATGGAAACAACTGAAAAAAAGTAAGATTTTAGCGCTCCCTGTATTGTATCAAGCTATGAAATCATACCTCATACTAAAATCTACCACTTTCTCCTTCTCTGATAAATTGCAATTAATAATTGAATAATTATTATTTTTTAGTAACATGTATTGTATACATACCTTCAGTTGTCAAAATCCCTTTTTCATTACTTGACCCAGTGATCTTACACTTTTTATGATGGACTTTTATTCTTTCAAAAAGTCCTTGCATTTCCTTTTTTCAATTTTTACCAATCGCTCTACTACCAGTTTTTTCTTTTTCTGAACTCCAAAGTGTGACAGTCACAGGCTCAATAACGATTTCTCTTCCCTTTTATATTATTTTGTATAGTGATTTGTGCAAACAAGTTCGACACGATTTTTACAGAAAAATTCCGGTGTGAGGTGATTTTTTGATTTCACAAGTTCTGACAAGAATTAAATAAACCTAATAAACCAATACAAGATATAATATTAAAACACAGATACTTAAGAAGAATAGATACCTCTACTTAATATTTGATTTATATTTCTCAACCGATTTCAATGAATTTTTTTACACATGTTTTACGAAATTATTATTCTTACATTATTTTAAATTTAAAAATGTATTTATGCCATTTTTTTAAAAACTGGCTTCTAAATAAACTAGATAATGACATGTAACCATTCCTAAAATTTTTTTATTGACTTATAAAATTACTTTAAAAAAAGGCAATTAGCTTCAATTTAAAAAATGTAAGAATAAAAATTAATATAATAATAAAATATGTAAAAAAATCATTTAAAATGCTTCAGAAATTAAACAAAATATTAAGTAGAGGGGTATGGCTTCCTCCTAAAATAGACCAAAATACATTATTCAAAAGTAAAAATCAGAAAAAATTACGATTTTTTTTTATTAAAAAATCATGATTTTTTAGTTTTTTAAAAAACATTATTTTTTAGAACAAATTTCAAAATCCTCGGCCAACTTTAATCTTTCATACTGACAAAATAAATAAAAAATCATGGCCGAGGATTTTCAAATTTTGTATATGGTTCTAGATATTGATCCTAAACCACATTTTCTAATAACTTTTGGTCATGTCTTCAACATAAAAGGCACTTTACTCTGGAGAAAAATAGGTTTTTTGAACATTTACAAGATATCCTTGATTTCTTAAAACTGTTATTATGTTGAAAATTGGTCTTTAACCAAGCAGGGCTGAAGCCAAAAAAAAATTTTTATTTATATCGAGAATTTTCTGCCTTTTCACCTATCGGGGACACACTGTATATGTGATGATTTCGGCGATTTCGTATAAAATTAAGAGGTATATTGGTGATATCACCAAAATCATAAACATGTATAGTAGATTTCGACGAAATCCCTCGGAAAAATCTAATAATAATAATAATTAATTTCATAATACTATATTTAATTATCCTGAGACATGTAGGTACAGTTTTGTTACCAATTTTTCTACAAATATTATTATTATTTTTTTTTAAATTTGGTGTCATCGGCGTCGACTACTACGGCCATTAGCCTCGTGTTCTGTGTAGGCTTTGTTACTGTTTCCCAGCGCCACTTTAGGAACAGCACTGTTAATTAGAACCCAACAGTGAATGGTCGAGTGGGGAATCCTACCAAGGCATCAGAATTAATTTTAAATAATTAAATTAAATGAAAAAATCCCAGCCAACGGTGGGATTCGATCCTGAGACCTTCCGATCTCAAAGTCATGACTCTAACCACTAAGCCAACCCACCAAATATAAATCTTATTAAATTTAATTTAGTTAAAAAATATTCATTGTACCTACTAGATACCTCCATTAATTATTAATTTAAAAAATAGTAAATTGATATACATGGAGCGTTCCGCTTATAACCATTAAATACGTTTTAAAAAAAATTATACATAATGAATACACATTATTTTTGATGACACAGGATGATATACAATATTCTAAATGTTTTATAATTTTATATATAAGAGCAGCACTTTTTATTTCTTCAACAGGAATTAACATTTTCTTCTATTTTCATAACAATTTTATTTATTTAGAACTTTCTTTTTAACGACTCAATCTACTTGATAAGCAATATTTTACATTTATAGAATTTCTTGTAACAAATGGCGAAGAAAAACAAAAAGTAGAAAAAATTGATAATACCAGAAGTGAACAATATATAGGTTGAGAGGCAAATACAAACCTAATTTTTGCTAGATGTTACTGTTTAAAAATATTACAGGTATAGTTTTGAGCATTTAAAAAACTATTTCCCAATTAGAAAATTTTATTTTTACATTCATAACACAATACTGTTCTTTAATTTATTATTTATATTTTTATTTTGTGTTTTAGAGGTAATAATAACACTGCCCAACACTAATTTTATTGCCAACAATATCGGAGCGATTTCTAGTTAATTTTGTGGTGCTCATTACGAATATGAAGTCCATTTAGTTAAATTGGCTCTAGTTTTGGAGATATATTAGAAAATTACGATAAAATAAAGAAATAAATCACTTTAAGAGACCAGTAGTCTCCATAAACTTGCTTATGGGGTAGTAAAAATGACAGTGTTGTCGAAAATGCGAAATGAAAAAACAATAAAATCCATAATTATTTATTAGGGTATTATAATAAAGAAATAAAATTTAATTTGGAAAATTATATCTAATTCGTTAGGAAAAAGCTCTTTTTATACGATTTTATTTTATGGGCACTGTCAGGAACATCACCTTGGAAGCTCCAGCAAAAATAGTCTGCCATCATATGCTTATCCCATCTGCCCTAATATCTTTCCTCCATCGCCTTTATATCCTGGTGGAATCTTTCCCCTTGTTCCTCACTTAAGTTGCCAAGATTATCGGGAAATTTATCCAAGTGACTATGAAGAAAGTGTACTTTAATACTCATATTAGTACCTAAGCTTTTAAAGTTCAATAACATCTGTTGCACCAGTTGCTCGTAATTGTCCGCTTTGTGGTTACCCAAGAAGTTCTTAACCACCGAAACAAATCTACACCAAGCAGCAATTTCAAGTGTCGTCATGTGATTTAATAAGTTTGCGAATTTAAGGGCCATCAAAAATACCCATACTTATCCTAGGAAACGATCTAAATATGTATTTGAAGCACTGGCCATCTTTATTCAAAGCTTTAACAAATTATTTCATTAGTCCTAACTTGATGTGGAGCGGTCAACCAATGGTTCGTTTATGACATTTGCTGTTCCTACAATCATATTTTTTCTTATTGGCCAATTCATCCTCTTCCGATGATCTTGCTTCGCCCCACAAGCAGATAAAAGGGTGTTTCGTGCTTGCTGCCCAAACAAGAAGTTCACCATTTTTAGATCCACACAAATGGAAAACTGATGCTCTTCATAGGAGAGTTTCTGCAATAATAACTTAATGTTTTGATATTCTTCTTTAAGTTTTGTTGAGTGGGCAATAGGAATTGAAGCATATCAGTTGCCATTATGTAGCAAAACACACTTTAAGCTTCTACTGGAACTGTCTACGAACAGTCGCCAGTCACTTGGAACAAATTGAATTCCCATTCGACGAAGAAGTTCGGGAATATTGTTGCAATAAACAAGATCTTTATCTTGACTGAAGTAAGGAACAAGTTTAACCTCTCGTGTTCTATAAATTGTTATTTTTGTATCTGGCTGTAGACAGTTTTTTTCTTTTAACCTGGATGCTAGATGTTCAGATGCTTGCTTTGATAGACCTAGGTCTCGTATCAGGCCATTCAGTTCTTCTAAGGAGAACTGCTGGGGTGTTGATGGTATTACCTCATATTCACTTCCACTGCTGTTACTGTACTGGTCCTCAATTTCTTCTACTTCTGACATCGAAACATCTGGCAATGTGGAACATACTGGTACGGGAATCTCTTCGTTATGTGGCACTGGTCTTCGTGCTGATTCTAAATCAGGATATTCCCATTTTTCTTTCTTGTATCTGTAAGAACCTTTTACATTAACTAAATAAAAAATAACAATCGTCGTGGTGGTTTTTCGGTTCTCTCCACACCATAAGCACTCTAAATTTTTTACTTTTTCTCTGTTGGTATGTTCATTGTCGTAAAGATTCGACACATGTTTTGCACACTATATGGGGAGCCCAGGACTTGTCTTGATCTCCAAGCACTACGCCGAAATAACCTTGATAAGCTTGCCTAACAAAATCTCTGATATTTTGTCTTTGCTTCTCTACAGTATATTCGCCACAAATCTAGCAGATGACATTGGGGTTATTTAAGCAGCTTCTTCGTGAAGAACTCATTCCTCTGAAAAAAATATGCGTCACATGTACCTTATACTTGACGTCTTTTACATTTAAATAATTTCACTAGGAAGGAACAAAAAAGAGGTTCACATATTTTTTTAATTTATATCATTTACGTACATATACACATACCCAAAAAGTTTTATACAATTGCGAATAGTTTTATCTCACACAAAAAAATTATTCTTTATAAAAAGTTCTGCATTATTTCAAAATCCATAATCAAGCATCAAACTTGGTGAAATGAAGGTGCAAATATAGAACAAAGTAATAAATAAAATGTTAAGATGCAGTGACAGCTGTAGAACTACAGAACTGCCAAAAAAATGCAAGTATCTCCTCTACATTTCACACAAATTATTTTAGACATTCTAAAATACACGTAAAATACATTTTATTAATTTTAATTATTAAATAGTTTCCATAGGACACGAACATATCTTACTATCATTTTATAGCTGAAAATAAGTCCAGAGCGGACCAGTGAAAGACAACAAAAGTTCGCCAGGTCATACTCATCTCTTAGCTGGGTCGCTTCGGGACGGTCTGCATTTTTGCCAGATCGGCGAGGTTTGTTTGTAGTCTGTCGCCTATGTGATGTGATTCGAGTCCGGTTTGGTAGATAATAATTGGCCAGCGCGCGTTTCCATCATACATGAAAAACATGGATATAGTTTATAAGTTATTAAATAATTTGGAATCAAAAATCAAATATTTTTTCAAATATTCTTATATTTTTCAAAAAACATGTTCCATGAACTATTCAATAGTTTTGAGAGTCTGTAAAATATAAATATACCTAATTAAGATAGTGAGTATTAGTCTGATAAACGGGTAGTCACAACAGAGAAAGTAACATGGGCAATACGCACCTTCAATCCATATAAATCACCGGGACCAGATGAGGTACTGCCTGTGCTTTTGCAATAGGAAATAGAAACGCTGGCCCCGCATATTTGTAGGCTCTACAGGGCAAGTTTGGTGCATAAACATATACCAAATACCTGGAAACAAAGCAGAGTTGTCTTTATACTTAAACCGGGGCGCGTAAATAGAAAAGCTACTTCAATATGTCACCCAGGCAGTGACCAACTAGACTAGGATTTTTATGCGTTATTCGTGCAGAAAACCTACTTGAATATAGCCTAGGATGGTGCCGTATTGGAGTAGGATTTTTCAGTCTATACGCGGCGTACTATTCTGTAATTGCTACTTTAGTACGGCAAGTTTTCCCTTAGTGATTATGTTTAAAACACGTGGCGACTCGGTATTCGGTTATTTATAAACAAAAAGTGAATTAACAATATACCCTACCAATAAAATGGAAGAAACTATTGAAACATTACTTAGTGCAATATTAACTGACTATTGAACCGTGAAAATGGACGGTCAAAGTGACGAAAGTTATACTTATATTTATATCTACAGCAATTTGCCAAAGAACAACCCACAACTATCTCACGCCAAAGAGGTAAAGATACCTATTTCAGTTAAGGTGCCAAAAAGCAAACACATAATATAACCTTCAATATTAAAAATCATTCACAGTATGACAATAAATATTAATAAACTATGCAAATACATATGAGTTTTTTTTACGCAAGAAAACACGGGCTATACTGAAGTAATATTTTCGCATGATTAGGCAACATAATAACGTGCAATCCTACTCCAATACGGCACCATCCGATGATATATTCAAGTAGGTTTTCTGCGCAATTAACGCATAAAAACCCTAGTCTATTTGGTCGCTGCCTGGAGGACGTATTGAAGTAGGCGTTCAACGTATGCCGTGGCAAAGGCCTATAGACCAATACCTCTAACGTCATTTTTATTGAAAGGATTGAAAAAACTGATTGATCAGCATGTTCGGCAAACCACTCTGATAGAGAGGCCATTTCATACAAACCAACATGCCTATCTGCTCTGCATCATCTCGTAACCAAGATAGAGGAAAGATTCAGTAGCCAAATAGTCCTATGAGCATTTCTTGACATAGAAGGAGCTTTTGATAATACTTCCTTTAAATCAATGGCAGCTGCCGCTCGCAAACATGGAATAGAAGACACCATCTGCTGGTGGATAGAAGACATTACGCGGACGGCAAGTATAGGCACAAATGTTCAGTGAAACCATGCAGGTGAGTATCCACAGGAGATGCCCACAGGATGGAGTCCTTTCTCCTCTACTGTGGAACCTAGTGGCAGCTGAACTGCTGAAAACACTGAATAATCAAGGGCTGTACGCCCAAGGATATCCCGATGTCATAGTCATTCTTATCCGAGAAAAACACCAAACCACAATCTATGAACTCATGCAAAGAGCTCTTAGGCTGACAGAAATGTGGTGCGTTAGGGAAAACCTCTTGGTAAACCCTGACAAGGCACAACTCATAACCTTTACTCGAAAAACAAGGTTGGAGGTTTTAGAAACTCCGACTCTGTTTGAGAAAGGCTAAACAAAACGAACCAAGTAGAATATCTGAGTCTAATCCTAGATAGCAAACTTACTTGGAGCCAACACTTACAAAAAGTGACAAATGGTCCACTGGCTATATTTGGCAATAACAAGATCCATGATAACTTATGGAGCGGTTGTTTGGTGGCCAAAAGTAAACCAGAAAACAGCCCTCAATACACTCTCAGGAGTTCAGAGGCTAGCCTGCCTTTGTATTACAGGAGCACTGAGAAGTAGACCGACAGCATCTACGGAAATTATTCTAAACCTCCCACCCCTTGACCTAGTCATAAAAAGGGAGGCCAGAATGAGTGCATATAAACTAGAAATTTCCAACAACTGGAACCCACTGAGGCATATAAAACATACCAGAATAACATATGAAGTAAATGATTCTATATTAAACATGGGATCAGATCACATGACACCCCTCCTAACCTTCAATAGACTCTTTCAGGTCAACTGTAACTGGAACGAGGTAAATAAGGAGATAGATAAATACTTGCTTAGCGGTCTCGTATGGTATACGGCTGGATCTAAAACTAACAAGGGAATAGGTTCTGGCGTACATGGAGTTAAACCCAAATGCGACATCATCGTCTCATTGGGAAAACATACCACTGTATTTCAGGCTGAAATACATGCAATCGAATTGTGTGTACGAGAGAATTTAAGAAGGAAGTACAAAAAACAAACCATCCTAATTCTTTTAGATAGCCAAGCAGCCTTAAAGGCTTTTGATTCAAACAGAATCAAGTCAAACCTTGTCTGGAACTGCCTTGGAATACTAAATAATCTGGCAACCCACAACAAGGCAACTAGCGTGGGTACCAGGACACAAAGGTATCCAAGGAAATGAAAAGGCTGATGAACTCGCCAAAGAGGGATCAGATCTACCATTAACAGGACTCGAACCTGTATTTGGGATAAGCAAAACCTCTGCTCGACAGGTAATGAACAGGTGGAAACACCAAATTCACTGGCAACAGAATCAGTAAGCTCATGCTAAGGGGACCAATACTAGGCGACGTTTCAAACTTTTCGGCCTAGAACCAGAAAGAACACTTGGTAGGGAAATTAACCAAAGACACGGGACTATTCCAAAGATAGTACCTGAATACGGGAAAAGCAGGTAATACAATAGACCCAAGAGGCTGCAGTGTTCTGGGCCAAACCTAACCATACCTGCTTACAACCGACAAAAATAAAGATAAAGATAAAAAGATTAGTCTGATACAGCAATGTTTTTTAAGAGGCAAACATTATGAATTACCCACCTCTGCTGATCTCTCGTAGTTATAGCATTGGTGCGCAAAGCTAACCAATTATTGCCAAAACTAAAGTAATAACGGGGAGCTATTGAAAAAACTGTTTTTTAACGGTATAGCTGATGTCGTATTTCAAAAGATGGTCCGAAAGAAACTGATTTGTTTAACGGTACAGGTGGAAGAAGAATATATCATATTTTAAAAGATGGTCCAAAAGACATTAAAATCAATTAGCCAAAGGTCAATAAAAAGAAAAGACTGGTGGGTACATTTATTTATAAAGCCCATCATATTAACTATTTACTCTTACCTGAAGAGTAAAGTGAAAAAATTGGTTTTTCAAATTATTTACATTAAAATATAAAATAGCTAAAAAAATATTGATATAATATGGTACGCATTATTATCACTAAAATCATCTGAACATTTTTTAATGTGAATCTGTCTAGGCGAGATAATCGCAATCTTTGTGAGCACGAGTAATTTTTTAGATAATTTTATCTTCGCCAAGTATTGACTATAACTTACTATACAAGATAATTCGAATATTGAACATATCTTGAACTAGATAAAATGTTAGAATGTTTCAGGAAAATCTTCTTCATTTATTTAAACGCGACGTTTGGTTTTATATCTCGTAATCCCTATAATTATAAATAACAAAATTCATCCAGTAATGTATGCAATAATTAAAACGATCAACAATATGTAACGCCTTTTATCTACCTTTAACTCCATCCTGTAGAACCTCAATAGATAAATTATAAAGATTAGTATCTTTATAAATGCATACATATACATACCTATATAGCTTACTCGGTGTAAGGCTCTTAGAACAGGGTTTTCTCTTCACGTCCTTCACCATTATTAAGTAAATAAATTTTTAAGTTAAGGTAGGTACGCTTGTTTACAAAACCTGGGTGACCTTAAATACACATGATAATTCAACCGTCAATTACAAATGATTGCCACATATTATTAGCTTCCATAGGCGATAATTTTTGAAAATAACTATAAAATATAATATGTGGTTGTTTCAAAAGTCCAATTAATATAAAAATATTAACAAAATGATTAGCAGAGCTACTGGAAAATATATTTTATATTTCACCAATAAATCTATGTATAGACTCAATAATTATAAATCAACAGTAATTAGTACAGCTTGTTATAAATTGATTTGAAATACAGCAATTACGATGAAAATTTATAAGTTCTGATAACTATAGAATATGTACTTCTTTGTTTTGCACAAAATCTGCCAGCAGATTATTAAGGCCACAGTTTCCTTTTTGTGTTTTTTTTAGTCGGTATAGGTATTTTCAAAAATGAGTTATATTTAAGTGTATTATTAGTTATTTAATAAAAAGCAGTTATATCTTCAATGGGAATTAAAAATTAAAAAAAAATTAATAAATTTAAGATATACTTTCTTATTCTGAATAATTTCAATCTAGATTCCCATTTGATATATTTTTCTCCCTAATAAATTCTTTCTAAGTTTACCACGTTTTGCGAATTCCCTTATTTATCAGCAACCACAGAGCTAGGATATACAGGGTGTACCAATAGTGTGTGGAAGTTCGATACATCCTATATTATAGAAAATATCAAAGAATATTATTTACGAAAGTTGTAGATAATATTAATCTGCACATTTCAAAATTATTTTTGAATATACAGAGTGATCCATAACTTCAGAATTGATCAAACCTCTGTTTTTTTAAATGAATCACCCTGTATTTAATTGTAAATTTGAATTCCCCTGACATTGCCCTTCAAGAAAATACCAACATGTATGAGGTTATACTGGATATTTTGGAAGTTTAAACCAATTTTATATGAAAATCGTACTAGGTTCAACCCTCTCTATATTTCAAAAGAAACAATCGAACATCAAAATTTTTGAAAGAATCATTTTTAATGATAGTCTACTTTTATAAGAATATACTAATTCTTTCCTAGCGCAACAGACGTGTACAGGGTGAGTCAAAACTCAGATACATGATTTTCTCAATTTTTATAAACGTAACACCCTGTATTTCATATCACTACTAATAAGTACTCCAATTATACGTTCGTTTTAGTTAAATATTGCCTATCCCTAAACACAACAGTTTAGCGAGATTCTTAGATGAAATGTTAAAAAGGGTTAATTATAACTAAATTCACAATGTAACTTGATTTAAACTCCTGTATTTCATATCTCTACTAAAAGTACTTTAATTATACGTTCGTTTGTCCCTATCCCTAAACACAACAGTTTAGAAGATATTTTATATTTGAATGAAAAAAATATGAGCCAAAAATAAGTTATTTTAATTTTTTTTTGAATGCAACAGTAGTATATTAAAAAATGAAAAAAAAGCTGTTACAAAAGCTGCTCAAAGTGATTCCCTCCAACTGCAATACAATGTTGTAATCTAGCTTCAAATGATCTTTGAACGTTTTTTAAACATTGTACATCTATGCTCGCGAACACTTGTCTTATTCTTTCCTTCATTTCCTCGCTAGTTAATGGACTAGTTTTATAAACATCTTTTTAACCAACACTAGGAATGATGCTATGCTGCCACTGTTCTAGACGTTCAGGATCCTATAAATATAATATTACATTACGAGTGTGGAAAGTGACATTTTTCACACGAGTGAGAAATATTGAGTGCGACTATCACACGAGTGTGGAAAATAATCAACAATAATTGTATTTATTCAATTTTCATATTTTTCGAAACAAAAATAAAAAAAAAAACAAAAAAAAATTCTGCAACCACCAAGTTTTGAACGCGGGCCCGCGCACCCGTCGGATAAGCCAAAGTTCAAATTGCAACTACCCTAAAACCTGAGCTCATGGATCTTATGTCAAATTCATTTTTAATTCGATTTTAAGTTTAAACAGAATAAAAAGCCAAAATAATGAGATGTATGTAGTTATTTTAAAATTATTTTAAAAATTGTTGAAAATAAATATCTAGGATCTAAGTTAATCGTCAATTTTATTAATTTAATAATCATATCGATTTTACTGTTAATATGGACATTACATAAATCAAAATAGAAATGATGCGTTTAACATTATGTGATAGCTAATGCGGAAATGTAAAACGAGGTTTATAATACACTCACCGGCAGAATTAACCGCCCACCCAATTATTTTTATTTATTTCTGAAATTTTCGGAGATTTTCGTCACTTTTTAAAATTAATTGATATGACGTGACATTTTGACAGTAAATAAATGTTTAACTGTCAGTACTGTCATTCTTTCGCTTTTTATTAGTAATTTGGTTCCAATTTGGGTTGTTTAACGTTATGTATTTACAATTTCTTTTCTTTATTAGACTTAATTAGACTTGTTTAGTGTTGGTGTATATTTTGTAAAATCGGTTTAAGTTAAGTTCAAAACAGTTTTATTCAAAACAATGCCATTGGGAGCAGAATCAGTAGCCAAGGCTGTAGTTCTATATGATGAAGGTTATAGTCAACGTCGTATTGCTAGAATACTTGGTGCTGCTCGTGAAACAGTCAGAGATGCCATAAGGCGTTTTAGAGAGACAGGTTCTTACACCAGAAGGCCTGGTCAGGGCCGCCATCGCTGCACTTCAATGAGGGACGATCGTTTTGTTGTTAGCACGATTTTAAGAGATCGGTTCTGTACCGCTGTTGAAGCCCGTACTCGTCTTGCTGAGGTTAGAAATGTGGAGGTCAGCAAGAGAACCATAAGAAGGAGGTTGGCAGAAAGGAATGTTATAGCGAAACGCCCTTACTGAGCCCCTCAGCTTCGCCCGCATCACAAAACAGCTAGACTCCGTTTTGCACGTGAATACAGTATGTGAAATATGGATTAGTGGAAGAATGTTTTATTCTCTGACGAGAGCAGAATTGCTTTAAAATGTCCAACTGGCCGTCAGCGTGTATACAGACGCCTGACAGAGCGGTTTGCTCCTTGTACTATTATGGAAACAGTGGGTTATCAAGGAGGCTCAATAATGATATGGGGTGGAATTTCTTACGAGGCTCGTACGGATCTGGTAATTTTTGCTAGAGGCAGTGTAGATGCTCACAGGTATGTTCAAGAAGTTCTTCAAGAACATGTCATTCATTTTGCACTATACATTGGCGAAGACTTTGTTCTTCAGCAAGACAAGGCACGATGTCATGTCGCTCGAGTGGTTAGGCAATACCTTAACGAAGTTGGTATCAAAACTTTGCCATGGCCAGCACAGAGTCCAGACCTCAATCCAATTGAACACATTTGGGACAACCTAAAAAAACGGATTCGAACACGAAGATCAGCTCCAACCACTATTCGAGAACTAAAAACTGCTGCGGTGGAAGAATGGGAAAATATCCCACAAGCTGAGATTCAAGCCATCATGGATACCATTCCACGCAGTCTTAGTGATGTGATCAGGGCAAGAGGGGGTAACACTCGTTACTAAAGTGAATTTTGTTAAAAACAATACTTTTTTGTCGATAAATTTCATGTATTGCTCATCTTATTCAAAAAGTTAAAAATTTTCAAAATTTTCAAAAACTGTTTTTCTTTTAATTTCTAAAATTAAACAAAAACTTTCATTTGATTAGTATTTGTTTGCTTTTTCAAGATGTATTAAGACATTAAAAAGTAAAAAAAAAATCAAAATTACAAATACCTCCAACTAAATACCAAAACATTGGGTGGGCGGTTAATTCTGCCGGTGAGTGTATAATAAATAAAATGAATTTAAAAAAACAATCAATAATAATCGTATTTATTCAATTTTCATACTTTCTAAACAAAAAAAACTAAAAAACAATTAAAAAATTAAAAAATAAAAAAATTCTGCCCCCGCAAGGATTTGAACGCGGTCGCTCGCCAGGTCTCGAATGACAAAGTTGATAAAGTTTGATACTCTACCACCTGAGCTAATAGGTCTTGCGCCAATTGAATGATCTAATCGGTTATGTGTTTACCTAGAATAAAAAGCAAACATAACTTAAAATTAATTTAATAATAATTGTTAAAGATAAATATCTAGGATCTAATTTACAACAATTTCAATAATTTAACAATCATATCGATTTTATTATTATATTACATAGATCAAAATAGAAATGATGCGTTTGACAGCTGTGACAGCTGATGCGGATAGTAGTATATTCGCACACGGGTGGAAAGTAAATTGTTATTCATCGTGTGATATAGGGCACTTTTCATAGGACTATATAGTGTGATATGTGTCACTTTCCTAAGTGGTCGCAGGAAAAAACATTTACAATGATAAAATTGGGGTTCAACAAAAAAAATAACAATAGTAACTCTTTGTATACAGAGATAGTTCTCCCTACCTATATACTTCATGGTAGAGAGCTTGGAATTTTTTCCTATCAGCCTGGGCATCGTTCTGTATTTTATTTTAATTTATTCTCATTTCTTTTTGACATGTACTCTTCATTGGAGACTAGCGTCTAAAATCATATCCAGAAATCATTAAACGGGAGCTGGGTATCGTGCAACTATTTCTTTGGTTATTAACCAATCGGAGTTTTTGCTTTTTCCATTTAGTAATAGGTAACGTTTCCTTTAATCTTGAATGGTAACTGGCATTGTCCATAACTATTACAGAATTGGTCGGTAATGAATCTAGCATTTGACTGAAATATTCCTCAAAAATATCAGCAGTCATTTCTTCATTGTAATCTTTCGTAGAATTTGAAACAAATTCTAACAAGCCTATATCAACAAATGTTTTATCTCCTCTAATATGAGTGATAATTAAATGGCGACCTTTACTATTTGGAAATTTTAAGCCAGTAGACAAACCTTCTATAAATACCTGACGAGCATTTGTAACCTGTTTATCATGCCAAACTTTTTTAAAAA